ACAATCATGAGAAGTGTTTCGCCATTGTGTCTGTCGACTTGTTCCGTGCTTTAATCTCATCGTAGATTTCGCATAAGTCATCCACCACACCTTTTACCGTTATTCCATGTCCTGTTGTCTTGATCCTTCGCAGAACATTCTTCTTCACTTCATGTACACTCCGAGTTCTCCTTCCTTCTTTGGCATCTTCTCGAGAAGGCCTTGATGTACTCTTCGTCCGATATCTTGAACCCATCCTTCGCTAGCTTCTTGCGTTTCACGTCGAGTCCAATCTCGAACTTCTTTGGGTTTCCTTGATGTCCATCTTTATCGCGTAGTATTCCGTTCGTCGAGCTGCTACCTCACCACTGTCTTCAGCTCGTAGAGGTCCAGCATGACTCCCACATGCCTTGATTTCCCAGCAGCATGGTCAGTCGTTTGGTGTGAGGCCAGTAGGTCGAAGGCGACTTTCCCTTCGATGGTCTCCACATTGATCGAATCCAGCAGTATTCCAGCAGCCTTGCTGTTCTTCTTCTGCAACCTTCGATCTTTTCTACTTGTCGTCCGACAACTTGCCCGTACCTGTAGGGTTTTCCCAGTTGTCCGGTTTGATCTCCGTAGAGTCTTTCATCAGTTCTACGTACCCATACTTCGATAAATGGGCCATCATCTTGACCTTGTAGAACCTGAAACTTCTCATCTTTCCATCGAAATGGGATACTTGCTCGACGAGATACCTCTACCTCCGTAGACATCTTTACTTACTTCTCAATTCTTCTCTTTTCTGTTTGACAACCTGGATCCAAGCTCACTCTTTCCTGATAGCTATCGTTTTAAAACGTGTTGAAAAGGTGGAACTTGAACGCACAATTTCTCTAATTAATCAATATCCTTCCAGCTCTACTGTCTAGTAGACTGGCTATCTGTTTCGTTTCTCTTTCTCTCTCGTTCAGATTGTGAGCTCTACAACTGAGCTCCGATATGCATACATATACCAGGATCTTTCGATCCTCTGCTTCTCGCAGTTTCATCTACAGATAGATCTCGTCGATCTATCTTCCTGAAGTGCATGGTTGGCCCTGGAGGGCTTTCCCACTTTACTAAACCTATGGACCTTCATCCGTCCATTCATTTGCTCCGTCCCATTGCTCATTGCATTCATCTCTTCGACCTAACTCCTAACCTTTGTAGTTGCATCATCTAGACGACCATTGTCCTCGTTCCTCGTACTCCTGGCCATCTGATGATGATCGGATAACCATCTGATTTGAGTCACACATCCCCAATCACGAACCGTGATTGTGGATCCCGAGTCGTCTGTCCGTCATACGAAAATACCTTTCTGACATTTTGCATAATCAAGATTTTACATAGGGTTTGGGTTTTTCTTGCTGCGACACGTTTCTACTACTAGCTAGCTAGGGGGATGAGCAAACTTGGCCATTGCTCTGTGTTGAATTTGTTAGAGTGTTTTTGTAAAAATTGTGTGCCCTAAGCCAATCTTTTACTTTGGCTGTTTTTCTCTATTGGATTTGATTGGATTGCATTGGATTAGATTGGATTGCATTGAATTACAGTTTACTATATCAATAACAGTACTAATTGGAATCCAATTCAATCCAATTCAATGCAATGCAATCGAATCTAATCCAATTAAATTTATCTTCTGGCAAAAATACGAATTTCGTCTTTTTAACTGATTTTAGCGAGTCACATCCATTACAATACAAGGCTATTGCAAGATTTGCCCATCCCCTAGTACATGTACAGCCGTACGACTGTAGTCCGCACGCCTCTGCCCCTCTACCCCTGCCTCTTCCTACTCCCCCACCAGACCAAAAAAGAAGGGGAAAAGTGGAATTGAAAGAGCAACATTGACGACCCCTACCGGTACCGGTAGGGTCAGTTGAATTTCCGGTATTGTGCACCGTTCCTGCACCAGAACCCTGCGGTTGTTTGTATCCACTGCAGCGGTAGCCACTGCAGCGGACGACCAAGGTCCAGCCAGTTCCATGGCTGTCAATTGTCTCGTATCTACTATTTCCCTCATTCTGGTGATGCTACAGATCCAACAGTCTTTCTGCAGCACCAATCATCAAATTTCTGAATTACAATGGAATGCTCACTGTTATTCGGCGAGGATGTCTCTGCAGCGACCTTGCAGCGGGTTCCACCATCACCAATGAACATGGGAAAGATTGCTTATCACCTGATGAAGATGGGTCCAAAAATGCTACAGTGCATGTATGGAAACATCGGACTAGCCCTGATGTCATTGCACCTCATTGGTGTGGTTATTATTATGGTACTAAAGCTACTGCTCCTGAACCCTCCTGGTTTCGAAGGCCTTCAAGATGAGGTCACATTTCAATGCAAGGCACCGTTCGTTGTAGACACGGATGATGCTCGAAGCGGACTCCAGCGGGCATACAGTACAGAATGGCAGATGAACAATCGTCCAAATGTCGGCTCACGCTTTATTGCTAGCAGCAACGGAATGTGGTGGGAACGCATTCAGATGTCCCGCTTTGTCGTCCTGCCTATGATGGCCATGACGTATCAATTCTCCAAGGAAGACGATATTCTCTGTCTCGACCTTCCTCCGTGGGTCCCACATGCGATGTGTGGATATGTGTGTATCTTTCGAGAAGATATACCCATCAGCTTGTCATTACAGGCAAGTTTCGCTGCTGGAAAGTCTTGCTGCCACTGTATCGATGGATCATCACTGCCATATTTGTCTTGTACAACCAACAGCTCAATTGCCTCCCGAAGGAATTCCGCACCCTTCGCAATCAAGACCTACTCACGGCCGAGGCCAATTAGTCTAGCTAGAGGTGGCAATTTGCATATATTCATTTAGTTTTTCACATTACAAAACTGTTGACCGTAACTCGGATGCATATGCTTACGGCAACTACCAGGTATCTGATGTACATGTAGCAATCTGGATTGCCGCAATGCTCCCTTGAGCCTATCGCTTCTTCAGTATTGAGGGCCCCGTTGACATTTCATGGTTAGTGCTAACAAGTCCACAATCTCTCTCAGTTTCGCCCGCTCAGCTGCAGTGCAATGGTCCAGTGTCAAATGCAAGCGGGGAAAATGGGGAGAACTGTTCGTTGATACAAGATGTTTGCGCTCTGAGCAACATAGTCCAACAAAGGCAGCTCAGGCAAAGGGGAAACAAACCCAGCAGGATTAGCAGTTACTGTACAGTGGGTTAATGCAACATGTCCAACCGTGAATGCACGCAAATATAAACAGAACAAAGTCATGGCGGCGGATTGCGGGAACGCCATGAGCAATCTCGGAGATTCTGGTGAATCTCGTCAGAACCGCAAGATAGCGGTAGCAATTGCTACCGGTATGGTTGAGACAGCTCGACCGCTCCGGGATGAATCGAATCATTCTTGCCGTGGATATGGTGGATACAACCGACGAAGCTCGCTCATCCAGTTCGGACGTTGCCGCGAAGATAGATCAACAACCCGGATCTTGACAAGGCCATCTTGCCTGGCCGAGGACCCCAAAGCGGAGAAGACACCACCATACCGGTAGACGTGCATTAGACGAAGTACTCTATAGGAAGTGGATGGATCAAAGGAGTACTGCCGTCATTCAACTTGTTGTGACCTTGGCGAGGTATCAGCCCTTCCAAGTTCCTTTCATAGAGGTCTCCATAGTTCCCAAAATTCAACACCATTAGCCGCAACATTTGTGCGTACTCTGGTCCAAAAAGGTCTACTGAAGGCATGGTAGCAGCATCTTCCGTGCTTATGTTGTGTTCTTCTGCGTAGATCAAGCCATAGATTGTCCAACGAACAAAGTCCGACCATTGGGTTGAGTTCTGATTCGTGACCATGGTCAACATTTCTCCGTCTTCACCATAAAAGTACACTGGGCTGAATTCATATCCCTCCTTCGTGGTTGGCTCTTGAATGTCAGCTTCCAGGGTATACTCTACCCCGAACACCACATCGACACGGTCATCAGAGAGTGCCATGAAACCAGCTACTTCATCCACCAATGGAACGAACTCAACCTGGACCATGTTCGGATCGGCAAACAAAGCCGCTGAGAGACAACCACATAGGTCAATATCCAAGCCACTAAATTTGGCCGCAGCACCCACTGAAGTTTGATCTGCAAATCCTGGTCGGTTGATAAAGATTCCACACCTCAAGTACTTTCTGTTGCCAACAGCTTCCAGGGTATCATTGGCTAGAACAGCTGGGACGGGTTCTTGTTGAAACTGTCTGTTAAAGTCCAGGTCAGACAAAGGAGGAGAGAACATAAGACCAGATGCGTTCTGGACATCCAGGTTTAATAGGTTGGGTCCAGATCTCTCGACCACAAGACCCAAGCTCCGGTCAAACATTTCGCCCCAATTTCCCACGGCCGCAATGGTATCGCGGAACATATCTCGAAAGTCGTCTCCAAACAAGCTTGTTTGAGGGAACATGTTTGCATTCGCTTGGGTAATGTTCTCTGCTTCAGCGGTCAAGAGTGCTTGCAGAACGGCATTTACAAAATCAGTCCAAGCAGGGTCATCTCCTCTGGTCAGAATAGCCAGTGGTTCCTTGGAGAGCAAAGTGTCACTCACAACATACTCGCCCGTGTATCCAGCTTCCCGCACCCGGGATTCGTAGATGGATTCTGGTTCTCCCGAGAGGACATTGCATTTCCCCTGGGCAAGTTCCTCAAACATGTCAACGGAATCTACTACAAAGTGAATGCCCGACCCATCCAGGTGATCTCGGATGACCTCGGTGGTAGTTGTACCTTCATTGGTGCACACTACGAGGTCTTTGCACACTCCAGTCAATGTATCGCCCCTGTTGGCACACTCTACCATTTCTGCTTCCCCGGCAACCGCAACGCCAGTGTAGTACCACGGTCTTGAGAAGGACATTGGTTTCCGGGAGAAGGGCATAAAAACATCTCGTCCCATGTGGAAGGTCACCGGGCCAGTGGACACATCGACAGTCCCATTTGCAATGGCACCCCACATGTCTCGAAAGACATAGTGAGGCATGTCGGTACGATCCGGGTCCCCATGAAAGAGGGCAGCCGACAGTGCGCGGCACAAGTCCAAACTCAAGCCTGTTCCTTCCATCTGTTCCAGACTGGATACCCGGCATCGAATAAAGCCCCGTTCTAGAACTGTCGCCAGAGTGGACTGATGCAATTCCGTAGTAGTAGCAGAACTCGACGTAGTAGTGCTGGATGGTGGCGTGCTGGTGGGAGCAATAGTGGATGAGCCAACCAGAGCAGGCTCTTCATCAAACATGTCTTCATGGTCGCCAGAATGGGAAGCTGATGCGGAATTGTCTCCTCCCGATGCCAAGACACTGGCCACTATTATAATGACGACTGTAATGACGAGCACACTGATGGCAATAATGGCCCAAATTTTGTTCTTGCTCACGCCCTTGTCTTCTTCTGGCTGCACGACTTCTGCTGTGGGAGCACTCTTCATTCGCTCTAATTCCTCCCGGAGTCTCTCGTTGTCGTCTTCGTCTGTCACGAGACGGGCCGTGACACTCGTGGTGACAAACGTGTTACTCTGACTTCCTACTTGCTCTTCATCTCCTTGCTCTGACTGCGGACGTGGCGACATCGACGCCATGGAATTTTCGACGGCAAACGCCCCTGGATTCAAGGCTTGCGATGCTGGCACGGCAGATGGCGTGACCAGCGACTCTTGCTTTTTGGATGGGACAACCGTGGTAGTAGCTCCTTCTTCTCCTTCTCCATCATCGCTACTCTCTACGAGCTCTTGAAGGAAAGGATGACGTGCGTCGCTTTCGCGCTTGTTGTGGCTGCTTGTTTCGCGTTTGCTGCTGCTTGTTTTACTACCAACACTGCTTGTGCTTGCTCTTGGTTGGTCCGCTGGACCCTTGCTGACCGCACTGACTGCGCCGACCACCTTGTCTTCTGCCGCGTTCGCATCGACCATCGGGGCTTTCGTCTTTGTTGGCGTGTTGTGCCCGGAGTGGTTCATCATGGCCGCTTCTGCTGCTTTGGCGTCTTCCTTTGGACGTGAGGTTTCGGTTTGTTGTTGGTGTTGGGTTGTTCCTGTCATGGCGGGACCTTCTTGTTTTAGAGGTTTGTTTTCCTTTTGCTCTTGCTCTTGTTCTTATTGAGGGCCTTCCTCTTGCTCCTTCTTGGGCTTCCTCGTTCTTTTCCTTGGGCGCGAATAGTCGCTGCTGCTCGGGCTGCTGTTTTGTGGGTGCTCTGGGTGGTTATTTCTCGAATGCTTTGCTTTGTCGTTTTCGGAGGAATTTGGGCAATGTGAACAAAACCAGCTACAAAACTGGTAAGAAGGAGGCTTCGAGTGTGCCTCGTGTTTGATAAGTCCTAACAAAATCATTTCAACCTAAGCTATTTAAACTTTCGTACCCCAGACCTCAATTACTTATTTGCGTTCAATTGATGTCGTTGCTGTCGCCTGTTCTTCGGGTCATTTGAAGGGAACGCATTGTATTGAAAGAGTGACAGTAGGTACCGTTTACTTTTACGGTGCAGTTGTACCTGGTAGCTGTGCGCTGAACGAATTGCTCGAGTAGCTGAAGATTAGTCTGGCCAGTAGATGAGCAATTTGAAGTTCAAGTGGACAAGGACGATGGCTGGTTAAATCGAATCTGGTTTCTGTTATGAAGCAAACGATGAAACGTCACGCCCTCGTCAGGTCTTGATGTCTTGATGAGCGGAGTTGCGAAGCTTTGCATCCTTTCGCTTTATTAGGCGTACTACATGCTAGCATGTAGTACCGTCGCCACCGTAAGACCACTGAAATACACGTAGATTAGATCTAGTCTACTCCTACCGTAGAGTAAAAGATTGTTGCTGAGGATTGCTGTTTGGAAGGGGATAGGGCCTCTAGAGTTAGCCCTGCCTCAGAGCCGCTTTGGTAGTAGGGACTGTGGCAACGGGCTAGCTCTGGGCAGCTTGCCACAGCCTATTGATTCTGGATCTATCGATTGCTTATCCATCATGCTTACTATGCATACTTCACTTGCTGGAAAGCTGCTTTCAGGTTGTTCCTCATGCCATGTCTTCGTAACACAGTGTTACGAAACGGTGATTAAAGTCCTCTAAAACCACGCTGCTTTGTTGTCAGCCTGGAAATGGTAGACTTTATCCTAGCCAGTCTTCCATAATCGTCCCTTCAAGCATCAGTCAAGTGAAAAGGATGCCTCATTGTCGAATCGGATTTGCAAGGCATTTCTAACCCGGGCCAAGTTCCTTTGATTGGTGGATTCCAGGTTGGGCGCAACAAAAAGTTGGTCAAGGTAACCACGCTGTGGATCATAGCCCTTCACATGAAACTTGCGGGATATCTGAGGTGGCAGCATTCGTCGGGACATTGACAGCAAAAGGTTGAGGAACATGCCAGCATTGTAGAATCTCATCGACTGAACATGGACGGGATAAATGCTTTCCAGTTCTGTAATCATTTTTGTACAGCTAATGTTGAACATATCCTTGTCCTTCCAATCATAGTCTGAGCATTCAAACAAGTAAGTTACACCATTTCTGATTGCCTCAAAGTCAGGCTGCTGGGCAACATACAGCATCCAAGCTGTTCCAACCCATGAAGTCAATTTTTCTCTATCTTGCAAGACATTCCTTCCAAACTTTCTCATATCAATGGCAACCACATACGACCCTCCTGCCTGATGGTAGCTGAAGGACATATAATGACCAGGAACTACATCCTGGAATGTCCTGGCCACCAAATTGCAGATTGCATGATAGGAAGTGGGGATCTTGTGGTCTTTCTGGTACTCTTGGATCCTTCCAATGCGCTCCAACGCAGTGGCCAGATTGGCCTCTGTTGGATCCTTCAGGGTGACAATGGCAATTTGGGCATACATAAAATCTGACATCGTATCAATGTCCGGAATTTGGGCAGCTGCGGCCTTGATTTCTCTTGCCCATTCCCTTTCTTCGTCAGATAACATCATTCGACCTTCATCATAGGCTCCCAGAAGCCGCACTGGCGGATCAGGATCATCTTCAATCTCCTCCTCGGATTCGTCTTCGTCTTCTTCTTCGTCGTCGTCGTCTTCGCTGCCATCGTCATTCCCGTATGGCAATCGTTCTGATGCTGCTCCCAACAGCTCCAAATTGCCAGCCTCGTCTTGATGAAGCTGCTCCATTTCTGTTCTGTCTACCTCCCAACAACTGTTTATCTACGGTTTGCGTGTGGCGAAAGATAGCTTCCAAGCAATTTTGCAAGAGTAATAGTCGCTGTGTCTTCCAAGATAAAGTCCCTGAAGTAGTAGTGAAATGAACAGTGCACTAGCTAGATTCCAGCTGTGAAAAGCCCATGTTCCGTTTGCTTCGTGGTGCTACGTCAGGGATCCGTCATGTTCGAAAGTGATGGTGATGTCCAAAGTGTGACTGCTGACTAGTGTCCAGCCTCCTAGCTGCTTTATTTAAAGCAGTGCGCTTTAATTAAAGCGGAAAATCTAGCCCGCACTATATCTCGTGTTAGTAGCTAGATAAAGAAGATAACGGGCTGGCTGAATAAAGCTCTCTTTATTTAATCGTTGAGCCAATATTGGCTGCCAAAGAGTGTCGATTCGTATGTGACTATTGGCTTGGCAGGAGCGAGAAATCCGATGAAACGCGATGGATTTTTTTTCATTTTCTTTCGTTCCGAAACTCCACGATGATGGATCTGCCGCTGTTTTTGGACCATTCTGCCACTCGAGAGCACTGCAAATCATGGCAGCAATGGAAGATACACGCAAGAAGGTGGGAGGCAAGTGCTGGGCTCAAGCAGAGAGGGTATCCAAGGAATGCAAGAGGATCTTTGGAGCTGCGCTGTCAGACACTTGGTTGGAAGGAATCGTCATCAAGGTCGATCAACGTTTGTCCAATCCAAGTGCCAAGAGAGCTACTACCTACATCACCGCATTGTACAAGCTTGGAGAGAGGGATGGCATTGCCATTGAGAAAGAGAAAGAGTTGACAATGCAGAGTTTGAAGGCAGCAAATCCGAAAGCACCAACTGAGAACAACAACAACAACGACGACAGTAATCGGACTCTTCCTTCCAACCCACCACCCAATGACAACAACGGAGAAGAAGAGCCCAGGCCTCCTGCCACGAGTACTGGTACTGGTACTGGTACTGGCTCAGCCACTGGTGAAAGTGACAACGTTGAAGGTTCTTCCCCTGAAAATCCGGAACAACAGCCCCCTACTCGCACTCCAGTTTCATCCAACCACGGCTACGACTGGTACACCGACCGACCAACCGATGTCCCAACCAATGGGCCTGTTCCCCTCCGCATGTGGAAGATGACCTGTCAGTACACCGGAGTGGAGTTTACGCCTGGTTGTGATGACAAAGGTTTGGATTGCTGGGACAAGAAAGTGTCCAACCAACTCGGTTTCTCCTACTCACCCTATGATTTCTTTATGGCCAGCTTCCCCAAAGATCAACTCAAGTACATGGTTGAAGCTACAAACAAGAAGCTCAGGGCTGCGAGTCCTCCACAGCCGACTACCAGTTTGGGGGAGGTTCTCAAATGGTTGGGCATTACTATTCTGGCTACGCGCTTTGAATTTGGTGAACGTGGATCTCTCTGGGTTGAGAAGTCATTGCGCAAGTACATCCCTGCTCCAAACTTTGGGAAGACAGGCATGTCTCGTGACAGATACGACGTGCTCCACCGCTGGATGACCTGGAGCGAACAACCTGATGGCCGTCCTGAATTCATGAGTCATCAAGAGTACCGGTGGTGTCTTGTTCAAGATCATGTCGATCGCTTCAACGCTCACCGAAAGACATGGTATCAACCTTCAAGCAGGATCTGTGTGGATGAATCCATGAGCCGTTGGTATGGATTAGGAGGAACATGGATTAATGCTGGCTTGCCTCACTACATGGCAATTGATCGCAAGCCAGAAGATGGTTGCGAGATCCAGAACTCTGCTGATGTGGAATCATGCTCCGACTCAAGCTTGTCAAGGCCACCGAAACGGATCAAGATACACAGGATGCACAACAGCGAGAGAACAATGGGTACGTTGCCTTTCTACTCATGACTTTGTTTGTTATTTTATCTTACACGATGGTTGTCTCCTTCTTTTTGATCCCACAGATACACCCACGGGTGCAACATCCTCTATGAGTTGGTCAAGCCGTGGGCTAATACCAACAGCGTTGTTGTCGCCGACTCCTACTTTGCATCTGTCCAGGCTGCACTGCGTCTTAAGTCCATTGGTCTCAGGTTTATTGGTGTCGTCAAGACTGCAACCAAGTGTTACCCGGTGGGATACCTTGGTAGATACGTTCTTCCAGGCGGCAGAGGAGATCGCCATGCTGTAATCTGTCGAGATGAAGCAACTGGCACTGATCTTCTTGCCTTTGTGTGGGTGGATAGGGACCGTCGGTACTTCATTTCAACGTGCAGCTCTGTCGCCAATGGCCCTCCTTGTATGCGTTGGCGATGGAGGCAAGTTGACCAAACTCCGAACGCTGAGCCACAGAAGGTTCAAATCATTGTGCAACAGCCTGAGGCCTGTAATATCTACTACTCCTCCTGTGGGAGTATTGATCAGCACAACAGAACCAGGCAGCAAAGCGTCATGCTGGAGAAGAAGATTCAAACCAAGACGTGGGATCGGCGAGTCAACATGTCGTTGTTCTCCATGGCCGTTGTGGATTCTTACAATTTGGCGAAGGCCTGCCAAGGAAAATGGTGGACGCCTCGCAACTACCTTGAAGTCTTGTCGGAACAACTCATTGACAACACCTTTGAGTCAATTGCTCTTAGGAGGAGAGCCCAAAGAGCTGACAATGACATTGGTCGTCCATTGTCCAATGCACGTGTTGTTGTTCCGGCAAAGTACCATCTCATCTCTTCCACTCCAACCAAGCAACGCAAGAAGGGCCATCCCACGTGGAAGGAGCAAGGCCACTGTGTTGTCTGCGACATGAATACCACACACGTCTGTCGTCCTTGCCAGGAGCGCTATCCAAGGCTCAAGGACAAACAGTTCTGGATCTGCTGCAAGGAAGGAAAGGCTTGCATGGGTATCCACATCCTCGAGAAGCATGAAGAAAAGGTTGATCCTGCGTTCAAGCGCAACTGAGTTGTCGCATGCCTGGTTGTTGGCCACTTCGAGTGGCCTGTTAGTTGGTTTGTTATATGGTACGTTGCTTTGAATCCTTCTATATACACAGGTATCCGTTGCTCATGTACTTGTTGTTTGTTGTTTCGAAAAGTGAGAAATCCCCGTTGATCCTACTGGATCATAGTAGTGAAAGCAGCGGTTGCTTTACTTAAAGATGAGAATTCGAATTTGATCTACCACTGCCCCTTCATTTTCTACGTATTATAGTACTCTCACCTGTTCTCTTCTTTACATAAAGCAACGGTCACTTTAAATGAAGCGGAGAAGCAGGAGACGGGACACTAGTCTTTGTGGAAACTCGCCATCAAAGACATGCCACCGGTACTGGTACAGTTGTTCCCTGCAAGATTGTCCATTAGCTTTGCCAACTAAAAAAAAAAAGTGCAGCAAAAAATCGCTCCTTCTCCCAAAACACTCAAAGACAAAATCTACCATTAAGAAAACTCATGCCTGTTTGTGTCTGCTATAGTCAACCAACCGATACAACCAGCATACTGTTGGGACCCTTACTA